GGCGGGGTCGGCCGCTGCTGGTCTTGGCCCACTGGGGCCTCTGCCCAGCGGCCATGGCGGGCTCTGGCTGGGGCCTTTCTCTGCCGCAGTCTGGGGGGATGCGTGTTCGCCTCAGTGGTGTGGTGGCTGAGATTCATACTCCGGGATTGCTACTGATGGCTCAGGTCTGGAGGCTCTCCTGGTCTGCATCTGTCCTTGGCAGGGGGCTCTGTTACACTGGCATTGTTGCACTCATGTTTGAACACTCCTCACCCCACATATTCTGTAAAATGACACTGCATTAATACTAATACCTACTTTTGTTTGCTTTGTTTATTTAATTTCTTTCTTTCTTTTTTTCGTTCTGTCTTTCTCCTGACATATGTAGTTTGTTTTTGTTTTTTTTTTTGTCTTTCTTTTCCCTCTCTCATTTTTGTGTGCATATATAAATCTTATGCTCTGGTAATCGTTGAGATTCAAGTTTTCTCAGCTTCCTCATCTCTTTCAGGTGCTCCTGATGATTGCCCCTCGGGGATAAATAAAGTTTTTTCTGATTCTGATATCAGCTATGTTTTCCTGTAAAAGTCATATGATCATTTCTGCTGTGTGTTTGTACAGGTGTCGCAGTTGGTAGATTGTGGTGTATTTGCTACTTTCCTTTCACTCTCTCTCTCACTTACTGTACACTTTTCTTTTTCCCTCTTTCAGGTCCAGCAATATTACATTCAATTCAGTAATAAGCAAGCATTCAATATAAATGAATGAAATAAAATAGAATGAATACACACATAAATAAACAAAAATCAGACTATCAAGAGGGGCCTTATATTCATAAAGCTCCGATTGGCAAAGTAAATCTGTTCAGCACAACACAGCAGTCAGGTCATCATTCTGCTTGCTATGATGCTGGACAGGACACATTAAGAAAAAAAACAAAAAAAAAACAAAAACATGCTATGCATTCAGATGACATCATGCTACTTGCATGAATTCAAAGGAAGTGTGACACGTTTGTTGCTACACATAGAGAATAGAATAGAATAGAATAGAATAGAATAGAATAGAATAGAATAGAATAGAATAGAATAGAATAGAAAAAGACTTTATTTATCCCAGGCCTGGGAAATTACATACACAATTTTATTAAAGTCCATTTAATTTCAAGGTGACTCTGCTAATCTGCTCCCTTGGGAGCATTAGTTTTGGGATTTGTGATCTGCTACACCAGCATCTACAGATTGGCAAATCTCCCCTCCTCCCCAACTTCCTCCCTTTTAAAAGTTTAATTTCATAACTTTCTCACTTTGTGTGGGACTGTAGAACACAGATGGTTGATTATTGTACCTTGAAACTATGTAAACTGGATTTTGTAAAGTGAAAACCATTGCAGTTGGTCTCCTTGTTTGTGTTCATATTGTATTCATTTGAACATTGTGAACTTAAGGCTCTGCCAGGGGCTTTGTGATCTCAGGGACTGTCTGTGTAATGTCTGCTCAGATTGTTCCAGAGCATCACTGGAGCAGAGTCACTACCAAACCCAAATGCATGTCATTCCAAATAAATGGCTAAATCTGACAAAGTGTCCTGCTGAAATAACAAAGTGGTTTTGGTGTTCAGAACTTTCAGTGAAATTAGAGGAGGAACATGCTGAAGGAGGAGCAACTCTGCCAAAGAGCAGAACAGAAAAGGACTCCCACAGGAGATGTGAGTGTTGCTGAAGGAGAGGCAGCAACACTGGACTGTCTTTATAACAGCACTTCATCAAATGCTTCTCTCATCTTCTTCTGAGACGACTGCAGGAAGAGTTTATTTGTTTGTTTTTTTTGTTTGTTTTCTTAAATCAAATACCAGTCGAAATAAAATGATGGTTCTAGAAAGTGATTTGGCAATGCAACAGGAAATCCATAAGAATAACAGAGTGGTTTTGGTGTTCAGAACATCCAGTGATATGAGAGGAGGAACATGTTGAGGGAGGAGCAACTCTGTCAAAGATCAGAACAGAAAAGGACTCCCACTGTCACATACATTCAGTATGTAAACCAACATAACAGATAGTGTGTGGAAGATGCTGTCACTGCATTACTGGGTCATGTTTCCTTTGTTGGTGATCACATTAAAAGGTAGGTTAAAGCAGGAAGAAGAAATATCTTTAAAGAATCTGATTGCACCTGTCCAGGGTGTCCCCTGCCTTCGCCCTAAGTCGAGTGGGATAGGCTCCAGCCTCCCCACGACCCTAGTGAGGATTAAGTGGTGTATAGATAATGGATGGATGGATCTGGTTGCTAGAAACTACCTTGAAATGTAATATTTATCTCTTCCTTTAGGTGTCAGCTGTCAACAACTTACTGCAGTGAAGGATGACGAGTCCAGTTTAGAAGGCGGCACTGTCACTCTGACCTACAAATTCTCCCAAACTGTAAGTGCTGGTGATTATTTCTTCTGGTATCAACAACATCCAGAAAAACCTCCAGAGTTCCTCATCAATCACTTTGGAACAGAAAATAAAACAACAGATGGACTGTCTGCTACAGTGAGTGGTGATAAAAACCAGATCACTTTGAAGATCTCCTCTGCTGCAGTGACAGACTCTGCTGTGTACTACTGTGCTGTGAGGCCCACAGTGACAGGAAACAGCAAAACTCTGAACAAAAACCTTTGGAGCAAAGACATGAGAAAACTCCACAACATCCACTAGAGGGAGACACACTCTGTTACACTTCGATGGTTTGTTCAGATACAAACTGTCTCTACTTATGAGACGACATTGTGATAAAGAATGATAGAAGTAAAGACAAACACAACTAACTGACAGTGAACATCAGCTCCAACATTTCAGCAATACAAACATGGAAAACCTGGTTTTGACTTGGTTCATGTCACCTCTCGTAGCTCTGTATGTTTCTGACAAAAACACCTGAACAAGATTTTTAAGGCGTCACATAATCAATTTGCATTTTCTTTGAGCTCAAGTTTAGAGTTTAACATTTCAGTGACTTTTTTAGTTTCCAACGTGAAGCCATTTGAGATGCAAACTAAATCTGAAAAATCTGATATAAACAAAGTTTGATATTACAGTTTCAAACAGCATTAGTGGACTGTTGTGAAGTAACATTTGTTTCAAATAAAAACATCTTTACTGTGACATTTTTCTAAAGGATGTCATCTCAGTTAGGAAGAAAACATAAACTTGATGAGTAAATTACAAGAGAACACCTTGGAAGATGTTAGTAGCAGTTCTCAGGTGTTTGTATCATGTCACATAATATGATCAGAATTAACTGCTGTTGGATGGTTTCAG